GGTACTTTACTTGCGGACTTCTCAAGGCGTTGTGTCGTTAATTCCGAGTGCCAAGTAAAACAGGCGCGTGAGCTGCGCAAGAGCGATTAGTGCTCGCCCCGACTCCGGCCCCGGGTACTACGGTGCATAATATGGACTCGCATATGCAACCAACCCCCTACTCCCCCTTGCTTCCCGAGAACACTTTGCTAAACAGATCAAAGTTTGTTCACAACTATGTCAATTTGTAAAACATGCCGATCTCCGAAGAGGCGCGTGAGGGTTTGGAACAACTCTTTGTACCCCTTGACCCCCTATTATCTCATTTCTCCGCATATATAATAGATACGTATATATGAGTGGATATACGATGCCCAGCTCCACCCCTTTGACCTCCCAGAATCCCCCCAATGCTGCTCTCAGTTCAACAAAAGAGAAAGCTTTCGGCCTCTGTATCATTTATCCCCTCCAAGAGGCAGCTTTCGGCGCAGCACCACCCGCAGTCATGGGAAGAGGAATACTTTGCTGATACCGAGGCGATACTCGGGGGGCCAAGAAGGTGGACATGTGATATAGGGCAAACGCCGTTGCGATTCCCAAGCACCACGTTGGTCTCTGTTCAACCCCTAGACCAGCCTCTACCTGGGGCACCCGCTCAAGTATGGCTCATTCAAGGACATTTTGGTAGTTGTGCCGCCAAATTAGTGAGTATTCTTTCAATTCCAGGCGGTAGCTTTCTCTTAACCACCTCTCCAGTTCAACCCTTATACGGATGGGGATGCAGTATCTCAATTAGCACAGCTTCCTCACCCAAAGCCGAGTCTCGAGAAAGTCAAGCACGATCACAACCCTTTCCTCCAGGAGATGAAAGCTTACGAACAAATACGCAAATTCTGCCCAGAATCTCAACGACATTTCTTTTTAAATTATCACGGCATAATTGACATTCCTTGGGAATCTGGTCGCCGTCAAGGGGTTGTGACGGACCTTCTCCAGCCTGGGATTCAAGACCGCCGGCTGCAATCGGCCAGTGTCCCTGAAGCCTTTCGACCGTATCTCGATGAACTACAGTTTGCGCTCGCGAATGCGGACTTGTCGGACGTTGAAGGGAGTTGGTACCTCAGCGTATTGAATAGTCGGCTGAAAATGGTGACGGTGTTACATGCGCTCGGTATCTCCCACGGCGACATCAAAGGGGACAGCTTTGGACTCCCACAATCTCTACACGACATTGCTTTACACGACTTCAGTCGCTCCTACACGTTCACACCGGAGCGCCCCTGCCGACTTCGAGTAGGCCCACTGAAGCAGGTCATGGATGTTGAGCGCCGCCAAGTCCAGGAGACGGTCTTGAATATGTAACTCCCCCCTCTGTTCCCAGAAAGCACGCCGACGGGCCAAATACTGACCATTGTTAGGGCAAGATCAGCTCGATTGTTGGACTTCTTCACGACACTCCTGAACACGACCGCGGAAACAGCACGCGCCATGCTACGTACACGCGTCTCTCCTCATGTACTTTCTACGGCACTCTCACTTGTAAGACTATCTGTTATGCTCGAAAACGATGGTATGTGTGCCCATACCCACAACACATATTTATTTGAAAACTCATAACGTCCTCCTATAGAACCATTCTTTCCTTCACTCTCTTCTATCCTCCCATTCTTAGAGCCCGCGGTGTCGGGAAGACCGGCGGAATGGACCGTGACCATGGCAAAGCACCTTGACGACTTTGTGGGTGTGTTCTATTCCGAGCCAAAGGACTTGGCCGTCCCGTCAAAGAGCTTCGTCCTGGCGTCTCTCGTGTCGTCAAGCGGTGTCGTCATTGAGCAACTCCGCCTCCTTTGTCCCAACGGGAGCCACCCCGGCAAGTCCACCTACGCATTGGTACCCAGCGCTTGGCTCGGAACTCTGGACACCAGACGACTTTTCTGGATTCTGCTCTACTCACCGTCATTCTGTGGAACTGAGAGGACAGTGACCATTCTAGATCGGCGGCAGCTCGACACGGAGATGAATGATATCCATCACATGATATAAGATGGGACAACTATTGGCTTTCACCGGTTTTTTCCGCGGTTGGCGAGCTGGGGAGAGACGAAGTGGGCGTTATATGCTAGATGTTGGGGAAATGGTCATGGTTTCCAAGCACAACGATGTAACCGATAATTAGCCTGAGGCGCGCATTTGACAGTGCCATGTAAATTACTTGAGATCTTCCTGGGATACTAACGACGTGGTTTAACGCCGTTGATTGTCAATGTCTCACGTGATGGATTTAGGCTGTATACACGGTACCGTTCCCCCATACTAGTGAGGCAGGTTTCCCGGACAGCCCGCTATATCACGTGGTGCGAAGATGACCTCAGCTGTTGGAAATACGGATGCCGGTACATCATTATCCCGACTCCGGATTCTTCAGTATGCCAATAGGCGCATCTGCGGGCTTCATCACCCCGTTCAGACCACGTCTTCTACTCCCCTATCATTCTACTGTATTTCAGTCAACGCATTTCGACCGGCCCGCGGCTGCTGCTATATACGAGATACTGTTGGTCTTCACCCCGTCCTTCCTATTTGCCCACTACGCTAGTCGGCCGTCCCGCAACCCACGAACATCCACGCGAGCACTCGGTACAGAGTCGGCCGCAGTTGACACGCCCATCCACCATGGGTGAGAAAGAAGACAAGGAAAAGGCCGAGAAATTGGCAGCGGCGAAAAAGAGGGTAAGAAAAGCGCTCTCGTGTTGAGCGGTTTTGTGGCGCGAATGCCCAGAGCTGTGGCTCTCGTTTGACTGCGTCCCCTCGGTCCTGAGATAACTCGAAGACGTTGGCCATCAATCCACTGACATCGCTTGACATGCACAGGTCGCCCAGCTGCAGAAGAAGAAGAAAGCCGCCGCCGGGGGCTCGGGAGAGAAATCGTCTGCAGCTTCCAAAGACGCGTCTAAAAAGGGGGATGAGCGGGTAGGGGATGGGCCTGATGGAGACGCCGAAGCCGCCGACAGCCAGGAGAAGGCTACAACCAAGGGAGACGATGCCTCCGACGCCGAAGCAGCTCAGCCCGCTATTGAAGAAACACAGGGTGATAAAGTCGTTGGCAACACTGCAGACGTCGACCTCGATGCGGACGAAGCAGCCTTCAACGCTGCGATCCAGGCGGCAAGCGCCGATTCTCCCACGCCTGGAACGGTCCTCTCTCCAGCAACAGTCTCTCCTCCCTCTGCCGATCTAGACCAACCCTCGCACGCCAAGGGAACCAGTCCTCGTCACGCTTCCCGCCAGCCGAGCATCAGCCTCCAAAGCAAAATCCGCAGCACCAGTTTTCGGGATGGTGGGCCATTAAGCCCAGCTGCCATGAGTGCGAATTCCGTCTTGAGGGTTGAAGAGCTGGAGAGGGAGAACAAAAGACTAGCCAAGGAGGCAGAGGTCCACGAGAGGAGATGGCGGAAGCTGGAAGAAGAGCTAGAGGAGGTCCGGGAGGAGAATGCTGAGAAACAAGCAAATGGGGAAGCTGAGGAGGAGATTCGGAGGCTGCGAACCGAAATCGAGGCGCTCAGAAGACGGGCCAGCTCAACGACCACTACAAGTCGGAGAGAAAGTGCTGCGGGTGAGGATACGGCCATGTTAAAGGCCGAACTGGAGAGGAAAGACTCCACAATTGCGGACATGCAGCTCGAAATTTCGAGGCTCAGAAGTCAATTATCAAGTCAGACTCAAGGGTGCGAGGCTCACGGAGAGCAAATTGCTGGCCTGCAGTCGTTATTGTCGTCGACAGAGGCCAAGGTGAAGGCCCTGGAGAGTGACTTGACGGATGCGAAGAAAGCGTTGTCCAAGGCTAGTGAGAAAGCCGTGCTTGACTCGACGGAGCGCACAAGCAAGGAGATGAAGATTCGGACTTTGGAGAGAGAATTGCAAGAGACTGCCGCGCACAGGGATGAGGTCGCGAAGAAAGCCGAGCAGCTGGAGAAGAAAATCGAAGTGATGAACAAACTCCACCGGGAGGCTGAAGCACGCCACGCCACCAAGTTGGCCGCCGCCGAGGCCACCGCCCGAGAAATCCCAGCCCTGCGCATGAGGATTGAGAAAGCCGAGAGAGAGAATAGCCAATTACGAGAAAAGCATAAGCGAGTGATGAGCGGCGATGGAGGAGGCGAGGTATTAGATGAGCTGGAAGATGAAGAGAGGCAGAAGCTCGAAAGAAGAATTCGGGAGTTGGAAGGGCAAGTCTTTGATCTTCAGCGCGGCGTGTGGAGAGACAAGCGGGTTCAGATGCAGCCTCGAGGCGATGATGTCGGATCGCGAACTTCTCTGGATCCAGGCGCCGAGGACTTTGATGAGGTGGATCTGTCAGGCCCCGGGAATGCGAGCAGTCGACGGCGGAGTTTTGCGAGCCAGCAACAACAGCCTCGTCACTCCAACTTTGCACAAGTGTTGAATTCGGGACTCGCAGCATTCCGCGCAAACACCACCTCTCCCGGTAGCCAGCAGAACCGGCCCCGCAACGACTCTTTGCTACAGGAGTTCGACGACGACGATGACGATGCCTTTGACGAGCACGCTTTTGCGCGTGCACAAAAGGAGGAAGAGGCCAGGAAGATGGTGGAACATGTGAGAGAAGTCAAACGAGGGTTGAAGCAGTGGGTAGGTTGGCGACTGGATCTGGTCGAGGCGAGACGAGCAGGTGTCGGTGTTGGATATGGTGAGATTTTTGAACTATGAATTGAGAGCAGCACTCTGGATAAGGGAGAGAGGCAACCTTTACTGTGAGTCAAAGTACACGAGCCTCTTTGAGAAATGTCTTTGATCCTGTTGCTGAGACAAGGTGATGTGAAAGCATGTCGCTGTGATGACGGAACAGACAGTGATTATGGCTACGACTGTACGTTTACGCCGCCGTATAGAATGCGCCACCGCATTTTCTCTATGCGTCGCCGTAGTAATTCACAATGAAAGTCCATAGGTGATGGATGCACGAACAACCATGGGGTTTGGTTCTTCTCAACAACACCATCACAATGAATCCGTTTAATGCTGTTCCTGTGTTTATGGAGGACCACGGCGACCACGGCGACCCTGCACATCCTCCGACGACGCCACCTGATCAGACCATCGGCAGTGTGGGAAGTTCCTCCTTCAAGTCATCGTCTTCGGATGAGTTGGAATCCTGGTCGCCAGACGTTGCGACTCATTCCCCAGCCACGACGCGTCAACTTGAACCATCCTCTGAAGAGCAGCCTGTCGCGGACAGGATTCGCGCCTTACTCGATACCCTCTCACCCGAGCTGCAAGCTGTCATCACCCACATGCCCGAGGCGTACCACAGGTCCTCATACTGGACCGAGTTTCCGTTGTGCTCGGCCGACTTTGCCGGTCTTAAAGTGGTGGACTTGGGCATGGGCGAGATGCTAAAGTGAGCTACCTCGCCCGTTGACGAGTTTTTTCAGAGAAATGCTGACTGGTTGTATCGATATGACTATGACGCCGCAAACGAGATCTTGACTTTTCGAACGCCCGTCTCAAACGCACACGGCTATGTGCAGTCGATGCTGCACCACAAGATCATGTCCCAACTTGAAGATATAGCGTCCTGCAGTGACAAGGTCGCCACATTCATTCGGGAACTCGATGCGTCCGCCCGGCGCCCAATCAGGTACGCGGGATCGGAGCGCCACCCGGATATCAGCTTTGGGCACACCTCTCAGAACAACCCGGCTGTGGTAGGGGAGCTCGCCTTCCCTCCAACCAACAAGGATCTCCACGCGCTTGCAGAGGAATACCACCAAAGGATGCGCGGCCTGGTCAACGTCGTGTTTGGTCTCGTGGTTGGGTTTTGGTACGATGAGAATTCGACTGTCAAGACATCGGCTGCCTTGCGGGTTTGGAGACCCGGCATCGTCGGCCAAGAGGGGAATATCGGTGCACAGCCCCGGTACGAAGAAATCGTAAGTGGCCTGGTTATATGGTGATGCACGGGACATGAATATTCGACAGCTAAGCTAACTCGGCCCCTTTTTTTGACTAGATTATTTACGACGAGTCTGGCGAGAGGATCATTGACAGCCAAGCCGGCCTGCGCCTGTCTCTGGAGGACTTTGCATGCCGTCGTTCTGTGGACGAGGGCGAGTTCGGGCGTCTCGACCAGCACGAAATCTTCATCGCTCTCCCCACTCTCCAAGACATACTCGACGCAGCCGCGGAGCGCCACGCCGTCTTGCCCAACACGACCCAGCAGCAGAGCACTATATGATGTGATAAGGCCAGCAAAGTCTATTGGATGATATCGCGCTTGACGGTGAATAAATGATGAACCGAAAATTTTTTTTCAAGACAACGAATGAAGCAATGAGATCATATGACACTTGGGCTTTCCCTTTTGACATACCAACCTACACATACCTGTGTATACATGTACACATCGCCCTGGCACCACACAATCGGACTGGGTGGGAAGTAGGAACTGGGAACTGGACGGGAAGGACAGACAAGCACTGAATGAACGAATGGCGTTGATTGATTAACTCACGATACCCCCCCCCCCCCCCCCCCAACAAGTGGCGCAGGGATTACATACAGACATACATGAGGGTCTGTCGGTTCACAAATCGGAAGGGGGGGGTTTTTTTTGGCTGGGCCACGAGTTTCATTGAGAATGCAGAGACTATTCCAAAGGACCTGAGAAGCGAGAAACGGGAGCCAAGGAACCAGGAACGACTGAATTGAATTGAATAACATTGGACTTGATTGAATTTGAGATGAAGTATCCTTTTCTTTTTGCGTGGGCTTTTTCTAGAGAGAGAGAGAGAGAGACAAACGAGGTTGAGGACGAGTACCCACCGAGGTACCCAGCCAAAACGTCTTGTGTCCTTCATATCTGATGCCGTGCCGCGCTGTGGCTTGCAATTGTAGTGCCGTGCAGTGCAGTATAGTACTGCAGTATCTATTCGATCGGTGCTTTCTCGAGTCTACTTGCTACAGTACAAGGAGGTACCGTAGGATGGGATGAGCCCGAGTTTCCACCCACATCCACGGTTTATTTCCACTCTTTAAAACACGGGAAACAAGCCAATTCCATTCATCAATCCATTCATGCCGGTATCAGGCCATCGGCAAATTGGATTGTCGTGTGTGGGTGGACCGTGATATTCGTAGTTCGATAGACATTCCCGCCTCCTGGCATCCATTCGTGAACACAACGGACAGTTTTCTCGATTCAAGGTTTAGGCGGGAAGAGGTGATGCATTGCTCTCGGAGTATGTATGTATGTGTGCATGGACGCATGTAGAATGAGTAGTCTTGGATTAGCCCGGGTAACGAAGCCCGGCAGCCCCAGGGCACGGTAGAATGCTGAAGAACGGGCGAAAATGAACCGTGCTGGCGGTGCATATTCTCGCAGACGTCTGAGACTGGCGCCAAACTGGCTCACATTCACTTCACCATTGGCCCCGCTTTTGCCATTTCATCAATATCGCCATGTATATATTAAACCCACAGAAATCCTTGCACAATTCCTCGCCAGGACTGGTCAAACTAGCACACGGCTTGCAGGCGTTCTGGCGACGAATTGTCGACAGCCCTCCTTCTCCTCCTCCGAACGATCGAATGACAGGTACAAGGGGCATACAGTCAGTATTACTTACTGATCTCCCTACCTCGTCCTCCTCCTCCTTCCTCCGCCGAACCGAGAAAAAAAAAACCCCGCGAACCCGGGTTTTCGCTCACCACATCCTCCAGTTCAACTGGGGGATGTGGCAGAGCCTTTGTTTTCGTCGGCAATGCTGATCTGAACGATGCGCCTGATTTTTATATCAGGCCTTGGCGGTCGCTGGTCCAGACGATGTGGGTGAACTAGCTAACTTTCCTTTTCTTTCTTCAGACACCTGCGCATAGTTTTTATTGGTAAGCTATGGCATATTCCCGTGCTCTCTATTAGTCACGCATGCACGTTGGATTTCTCACGGCGTCGCGGTGGTCCCTCTCGGTTCGCTTTGCTGTTTCAACATCCCCGTGATGTCAATGCATCGCTGTTCCATCCAGGGTCATGAAACCTGCCTCTGCTCTGCATCTTTTCTCTGATGCCCCAGTCCTGTCTGCATGTTTTGGATCGCTTTTCGAAGCATGGCAAACAAGCTGCTGGAATTCACGAAGGGTCCTAGCCCCTTCGTCCTACAAGTCCGACCGGTCCACCTCGAATTGTGCGCTCGCTACAACCAAGGGCGCCAACACCGACAGACTCAGAGTCTGGAATGACAGGATAACGGAGTCTGTCTATCTTTGCAGCCACGAGACGCACAAAGGTCTGACAGATGTCCAAAGGGAAACGACGAGAATCACACACCGAGGCTGGATCGCCGACCCGAAATGTCTTGATTCTCTTACTTCGAAAGGTTGTATACTGCCCATCGCCTCCCGGGTAATACGCATGGATACGGAATACTACGATCGTTGTGCACGATGGGGGAAAATGCTCGAAGCTCTTCTGTGCAACATCGGCTCTACGGTTCACTTCTCGGAAAGAGGTCGACGAATTCCTCAAAGAAAGGGGCAATAGTCATGACTGTTCACGTTGGGCATATCTGCCAACTCCAGGCTCCTCTTCACGACACCTCAACTTACTCGTTAGGACAGGGGAATAGATGTCTTCTCTTGGAAACAAAACATGAGACGCTCACACAGACACATCGAGTACATACCCGACCTTTCAATCTCAATCCATAAAAAGGACACAAAGTGGCGTGGTAAAGGCGTTGGTTTGATCTCTGGTGAACGTTCTGTACTCCAAATGGTGCGGGTAATGTGATCTCGATCGTTCTGGAGTATGGGACGGATGCCACATACTACTACCTAAAGCACGCTGTGATATATTTTCACGTTTGAAGGCTTCGGGGCCACGGATCTAAGAATTTATGGATCAACTCCCCCTGGAATGTGTTTCAAGGATTTAAATACCACTCAGCAGCTGTGTCCCGTATAGGGTGGTAACCGGCGCGGAGTTTCCTAGTCTTCCATCCCCACGATACTGTCATGTCTGAAAAAGATATTCAACCTGCACAGATCTCTGCTCCTGAAGACGACAGAGTCGCACTGTGACGGTCGTAGACTATTCGTCTCTTCGACCTTCAGCCCCTGGAAGTCTTTGATATTGTTCTGGAGGGCGTCACGAAGAAATCGATTTGAAGGCGTACATGTTTTGGGAAAGGGACGAACCGATTGAAACCCGACAAGTGTCTAGACGCAGTGCTAAAGACAGTCACCGTCCAAGACTCATATATTCGCGATGGACGTTGGAAACTCTCGCATCTCTTGAACAATGCGTCTTGGCCGGAGTAACATTTTATCTTTTATCTCGGCGCGTGAGCCGTGCGCTTGTTAGAGTGTCTCCATGAATAGTCTCCCTCTCCAGCCTGATGTAGGTGACTCCTCTCTGGCGGGACTCGAAGACACGTTATTATCTGACCCGCTCTGATATTTCCAGCGTCCAGTCTCTTTCAACTCTTTTCTTTTTTTGGCTCATGGGTGCTCCAAAGCCACCGTTTCATCTTCAAAAGTTTATGCTCGCAAAGGGTAGGAGTGGGTGACGGAGTAGAGGTGAAAGTCTGGGTATCCAACACCGTTTACTGCGGCAGTCAGATAGAATCATAGAATTCGCCTTTGGCGGCCATTTGGAATAGATGCTGGACATGGGTTAACGTTTGCAGTTGCTCGGAGAGGTTGTAGTTTTGATCCCGGTCTGCTGAACTTTCTTTCGACCGTGGCACACCATTGAGAGGCGGTATTTGGAGCGATACTGCCTCGACAGCCTCGCGAATTTCTTTTCCAGGAAATCTCCCTTTCCCTGAACCATTGATCTGAGAATTTGAGCGTGATGGTGCGCGTCTTTCCGTGTTGGTTGTTACCATTAGTGGCTCGGACAGGTCTGGTATGATGATTCACATGCCAAGTCCGTGAAGACAAAGGCAAAGGCGTGACTGACTCCCAGCAGCAATTATCTTTGTGGTGGACCGTAGAGCAGACGCTTCATCATATAGTGATCGACCGAACAATTTCATTTCCCCGTACTAAGTTGTTTTATACTTTGTCATTGTTTGATAAAAGATGCATCTGCTTCCGCCAACTTCACTACTGACGCCTCTTCCTCCAATCCTTTCTTCATGTCTACGCCAAAGTGTCGCGACAGGGGGGACGTCATGTCTGCGTCGCGCCCTCACGGGAGCCAGGATGAAAACCAAACCGCAGATTCCTCCCCGGCGCTCCTCTCTACAGAGAACGTCCCCTCATTCTTCGATCCACCCCGGTCTTCCAGTGAGTGCGGCCAAAAGCAGTCTGGCTCTGTGGTGGTCTCTCTGGTCACGGATTTCCTCAGCAGCTCCTCCTCTTCTCCAACATACAGTTGGCTACACCTCAAATTGAGCCCTGCTGAGCACGACGAGCTGAACAAGTGTGTACCAGCCGAGAAGTTTGAGGGGTTTCGGTGAGATTGACATATACCCGGAAGAACTGAAAGCGAAAAACAACGAGGGCTAACCCACGATCATGCAGCCGTGACTACTTCGTCGCAACCCAGACCTTTTCAGTCGGCAAGGAGACCAAAATACATGCAGTGGTCAACGCCGCTCTATCCTTCGCCATCTTGACTCGAATCAAAAATCTTGCGGAAAAACATCCAGACACAGCAATCGGTCGGTTCGCGGCCAAGATCACGGCGCAAGGCTCTGGGGACATTGATCTAGAGGAACTTCTAATCAAGAATTCTCACAGTCCGGATGGTTCGTTCGCATACAAGGGCGCCAAATATCCCGGAATCGTCATTGAGCTCGCCCACTCGCAGCCAAAGGAGGCTCTTCAACATCTTGCCGAGGAATATATTCTCGGTTCGGATGGAAATGTTCACTATGTTTGTGGCATCAAGGCTGCATACCGCTCCGGCAAACAAGCGTGGCTGTCGGCTTGGAAAGCGAAGAGAACTGTCTTGGCTGACGGCACAGTGGAATTGAGTGTTGAGCAGACTGTCAAGGATCAGGCAAGTTCCCAGAACGCAGGACACACATGTATGCCTAGTCATCGACTAATTTTAATACCCAGATGTTTCGAACTGCTGAAGGCCTACCCGATCCAGATTGTCCTGGACTGTTCCTTCCTCTCGTACACCTGGCGCCGACTTCCAACATCGCCCTCGACATCGCCAATGTTCCTGACCACCTTGGCCAGATACGGATCGCTGCCGAAGAGCTCTGCCAAATTCTTGATGAA